CTTTCTTCCTTTCTTCCTTTCTTCCTTTCTTCCTTTCTTCCTTTCTTTCCTTTCTTTCCTTTCTTTCTTTTCTTTTCTTTTTGCTGCTATAACCACTTCTTTAATTATGAAGGAAAAAGAGAACAGAGGCAGCCATTTTGAAAATGAGAACAGAGCTTTTCCTTCTGCAGCTTATGGACTTACTTGCCACATCACAGAAATACTTTCACTGTGTGACAGCAACTTCCTTTGCAAGGAAAATAAGGGACTTCCAATCACTGTGGGCTAGGCTAATTGTGCCCCAAACGAGAGATTTATCAGTTAAAGAAAAAGTGAATTCAGAATTAAAATAGAGTGAAGATCTTTCCTTCTTGGTTGAGAAAAAACACTCTAGTGGATTACATCAAGCTGGGTGTTTGCTTTTGTTTTATTTTGTTGGCAGCTTCTTATTTTTGGAAGGGAGTTTGATAAAACAAAGACCTTTCTTAGAAAAATCCCAATTAGAAAGTGTCTTGAGCACACACTTGAAGTACCTGAGTAACTGCCCCAATGTCCATATGGTTATTCATATGCTTCAAATTGGAACTAAGGACCCTGAAGAGCCATGACCAAAGCAAAAAAAAAAAAAAAAAAAAAAAAAAAAAAAAAACCAGTTACTGTATTTAAGGGAGTTAAGGGAGCTGCTTGCTCTCATGCTTTGCAATAACTATCTGTGCTATGGACCTGCAGGCCTAGCTGACTTCTATGCTGGTGGTTTTAGGAAACTTATTGCTGCATTGTCAGTCTACTGAACAGACAAATCATTGACTGCCAATAGCATTTTGGTGACTGGAGTTTGCACATCAAACCAGGCATGGGGGTACACTAACACAATAGAAATACTACTTTTTTGAAAGAGTGGTCAGGCACTGGGGCTGCCCAGGGAGCTGGTGGAGTCACCGACCCTGGAGGAGTTCAAGGAAAGTTTGGATTTGGTGTTGAGGGACATGGTTTAGTGAGATCTATTGGTGATGGGTGGATGGTTGGACTGGATATCTCGTAGGTCTTTTCCAACCTTGGTGTTTCTGTGATTCTGTGATTCTGTAATACTGAGTCAAAGACAACTGACCCTTCTCCAAGTACAGCTAATTAGTGAGGGTTTAGCCCTGAGGCCTGCCTGCAAACTGCTGTACTGGGCCACCATGACCAAAGATTCTGTGTTTGCTTAGAGTGCTGGTATGGAGATCTCATAGCACTGGAAATCAAATGAGCTGAAGAGAGATCTGGATCTAAGCCTTTCCAGTCACTAAGTGTCCCCTTCAGTCTCCTTCAATACAGTAGTTTCTATGCTAAATCAGATCCTTTCTTGGGATACATTCCTTATGTGCCCACCTGAGGCCATGTACACATGGCTAATCTCTTTTGTGAGGTGCAAAATAAACTCCCAAACAAACATACACAAAGCTTTCTTCAGGATAACTCCTTTCTGCTAAAAGACAGGTATACATTCAGCTCATTCAATGGGTTCCTCAAGATGGGAGTCTATGTGAGAATAAGGACCTTTGAACTGCATCTACTAAGGTCTGGTAGGGACTCTGCTTCTAAGAGCGGCAGAGGCACTGATCTGGTGATATTGCTGGCAAGCAGAGCAGTGAAATCTAAGTAAAAGCTTGGAAAGTTAAAGGACTTTGTAAGCAGAAAAAAACATTCAAAACTGTTCTTGTGCTTTGCAGAAGCAAAGAAAAACATGCTTTAGGAGAAAGATTTGAAATTTCATTGCCATTTTACTTGATGGTTCCTTGACACATAAATTATTAGGGAAAAGCCACAACCACCACCAGAATTCTAGTCCTACTACTGCGTTGTGCTATTTTTTGGAAGGAAGCTAAGACCTCGAAGTCAGCCTTGTCATGAAAAGCTAGACCTAGTGAACCTGTAATTATCCCTGATGAGGAAAACACAATAGAGTTATACCTGTGGAGTCTACACCCTGCACTTTTTCACATAATCATGAGAAACAAGCATATCCTCAGTGATCACAGCTACCCTACAACAAAAGCCACTGCTTGGAGCCACACAACTGTGGAGATATTTATTTGCAGGTGTTATCAAAAATCTCCCAAACAAAGACAATCCCTGCTTTAGCAAAACAGCAAGCATGCATCTCCCCCAACACTTCCGTGCAAAACCTGCATTAAAAAAGCCATTGTGATGAAGCAAAAAGCATTTTGATATGAAAACATATTTTGGTTTCAAGCTTCCAAGAGGCCTTGCCATAAGCAAGTAAAATAAAAGAGGTATTTGAAGAGGGAAAATGCATTGAATGCATGACTTGGTATAGTCACATATAAAGGAGTTTCTGAACTATGGAGGTTGTATCTTGAGTCATTATTGTCATAGAGATACTAAAAGTCCCTGTGAAATTAGTCCATACACCTAATACGTTTGTTGCACATTTTCATCTGCTTCATGTTGTCTTTAGTGCAGCACCTCTTTCAAAGACTTTCTGATTCCATTTCTTAATTCTCAGTAGGAAAGATACTGCTCTGAAGACCAGAACGAAGTATTTTCAAACATTTTAGAGATATCAGTGAAAAATCATTTGTGATCATTTTGTAGTTCTTTAAGACTGTTGATGGTAGGGACTTTTCTACCTGAACCTTCGGTGGGTCAAAAAAAGCCTAAATCAAAATCACTGAATCTGAGATGTTATGGACATAATGGCCTGGAAAGGTCACCTAACCCATCTCACTGTTACTAATTTGAGAGTGTAAACTGCTTGTTGCAGCTTAGGGGCACTGAAAGTGCTAGCTTTATAGGGCAATCTGGTGTGGAATGGCTTTAATAGCAGAGACTTCCCATCTCTGTAAGAAACATGTACTCTTCTATATTCATATTTCTCTAAGAATTATCTGGTGGAAAAGCCAGCTAGTGGTGGAAAACATTTCCATTTTTGAAAACATCCCCATTTTTGTTATTGCTGATAGGTTGGATTCCAATGAAACAAGCTTCTACTTCTGATATTTTTGACACTTACATATATTAGCTGTCTCCTTTCCCAACAGCACAAAGTGCGTGAGTGTAACAATGAGACCCTCAATCAGATTTGTCTAGGTCCTCACTCAAGCAAAGCCTCCTTGGCTTTGATAGGGCTTCATCTGTACATGAAATTTAACAGATATGAGCATGGATCTTTCTATTCATTTCTTGGGAACAAATAAATTAGGGGTTATTTAATTGTCAGGAAGACATATTAACATATAGTTATTATGCTGGAATGAAATTGGATACAGACTACACTGCATGAAGAATGAAGAATGCTTTGAAACATTTGCAACACAGAGCTATTGAGACAGACACTGTGCCAGTCCAGTCACCTGGGATTACACTGCAACCCAGTCCCATTGCTTAATTGCAGATTTTCTTCAGCAAGAAATGCTGTCTTTGGCTGAGCAAGAGGAATCCGGATAACTGCTGCCTCCCCTCTAGCAACCAGGAAGACTTCCTAGAGATGCAGGATGCCACTAGGGGAGCCCTTGTTTAAGCATCCTTCAACCTCTCATTCTAATGAGGCACAAACAGTTCCTCGTTTATGTGCAGGTGTGTGTCTATGTGGTGTGGCTCTAGCCAGAGGCCTGAGTGGAAAAGGCAGAAGCCAGAGAGTTGAAGAGCTGAATCTTTTTGAGGGTCTACAACACAAAGAGAGGCTACAACCACAGCTGACATCCCCTTCCCCATGCAGTTACCTGTGCTAGTGCTTTATATCCAGTGGTTCCCATAACTTCTCAGTAGGGACGATTAGCATCCTTTGGCCTCTTCAGCTGCACCTTCAGCCTCTTCATGCCAATCTGGAAGCCATTCATAGCTTGGATGGCAGCTTGGGCACTGGCAGGATTGTCAAAACTCACAAAACCTGTCAAAACATGAGGTAAGGCAGAAGGTTTAACATGCTGAAGGGGGCCAAGGCACGTACATGCAACGACCACTGAGAATGAACATGGGGAAGGGCTCAAGGGTGGTGGGAAGGAGGGAGTGAGCAGGTAGGAGAGTGTGTGGGTGGGCAGGAAAGTGAGGAGAGGATGGTTGCCAGTAGGGGACGGAGGGTAGGAGGGGTTGTTACAGATCAGTGTCCAGGACTCAGTGCCTGGTCTGAGTGCTAATTCAGACATGAGGCTACATGAAGCATGGAGGTTCAGATGCTGGTGTCACAGTATCAAGCACAGACAAGATCTGGGTTACCCTAGAGCTGGGTGTCAGCAGATGCAGTGCATGGCTCAAGGCATTTGTTCTTTTTTCTTCTGTAGTGACCAGAGTACATCACTTTCTCCATCACATACCAACATAACTTTTCCTTTGCCTTCTAATATTCAGAATGAAGCAAACCTGATGCACCTACCGCTACCTTCTTATTATGGCAATATAAGCAAAATGTGAATTTAATAAGCTCTCCATTATGGTATTCATTGGCATGAATAGTTTGATTGTTGGCCACTTAAGCAATGTGAGGAGCTTTATTAACTGGCAGTTACCGCAGACCTTTACTTTATGTTGACACTGCCACTGAGAAAGATGAACGCTGGTGCTTTCCTAAGATGGTTTCTATAGGTAGTTTCATACCTTGTCAGCATATCATTCAATCAGTTGTGGAGTGCATCTAGAAATAGAAACACCCACAGTGATTGAATTCTGTACCTATAGTCCACCCAACATGCCATCCTTTGTCTCAGTGGAAGACTTGCTATCTGAAACTAAGAAGAGGCAAGACAGGTCATAATCAAACTCGGTGCAATGCACCAAACTCATTCAGCTTTGGGGGAAGTTTTTAATGTGACTTTTCTCCTTAATTTAGCCCCAGGAGGAGACCTCATATGCCCATCCTGTACATGATTTTTGCTCAAGTGACCATGAGACTGAGATACTGATGAGGCAGGGAGCCATCACTTTGTATAAGGATTGCTTCTGCTACCTTTGCCAGAAATGTCCGTATGTGCCAGGAACATTTCTGAACAAAAACCCTAGGTAAGTCTAGCCTGGACAAGCCTGCACTCCAGACAAAGCCATCTGTTTTCCCACCCCTGCAATGCTCTGGCAGCACAAATCAGCCCCAGGAACCCAGTGTCTCTCAGTAGACAGGCTTAAATGAAGAGACAGCTTTAGAGCCTCTCAAAAAGCTAATGCTGAGCATTTGCTGCCAGGTATACACCTGCTCCTGACAACAGCACTGGACATGGTTTACAGCCTTGGGCTGTTCTGTGTTTGCATTTAGCAACACCTCCTCTTTGGTCTAGTTCCTCCTTGAAAGCAAGCCTCACAAATGACACAGGGTGGCTCATGTTTGAAAAAAAAAACACGCATACACAAGAATACACACATATGCAGAAACACATCTTCTCACTCTTGCATTAAAGCTGTATTCCTGCCTTTGGATAATAATATAGCTTTATGAGAGATCATAAAACCTACAATCTCAGCTTCATAGTGAGACAACTGTATTATTAAGTGTGGCAAAAGTGGTTTTAAGAGGGAGACCAATGAAACAAATAGCCATCCCTCCCTGTCCTCCTCTCTTGAAGCAAAGCTCCAACTAATTGGTTCTCTGTGCAGTTATCCTACCAGCTACCTGGGTGACGCAGTACCAACACTGCAGCTCTGAAGATGTGAGCAGAAGTGTTGCTCAACCCTCACAGCAGTCTTCAGTATCTAGACAGAAAACTAGAGTTATAGTGAGAAATGAGCTGTAGTGTTATTAAATGGCACTGGATCTGTATTTGCAATCATATCTTAGCCAGTAAGGTGGCTGGTAATGTTCCCAGTTTGCATCTGACTAGTTGAATAATCTATCAGTCAACAATGCTCTGTGATTTGATCTCAGCAAGAAGAAAGAAGATGAGCACCTCCTATTTTCACCTGAGTGAACTTATCTTCAGATACTTATGAAAGATCCTTGCAAATGCTTTCCTTGATCTTCAACTTGAAATGTGCTATCTGGATAACTCACATCTTTGAATATAGCTATAGAAAAAGACCATTCTTTTTAAAATAACCTATAGACTGCTAATACTCCTGTCTGAGACTCATAAGTTATATCTCTAACAGTAAACCAAAACTGTGCCAGGGAAGTTCAGAGAAAGTGAAGCTCAATTACCTATACCACTGAATTTTTAGAAAGACTCTTGACACAGTCTTGGCTTTTGCCTAACTCCAATTTCTGGACAGACTGAGTATTAACACAGCACAGAAACTGTTTTCAGTACTTAGCTTGGATATTGCCACGGTATTTTGGAAAGTAACAGGATTTAATCGTTTGGGTGTGGGTCATTCTATGCCAGCTGGACCCAGTGCTAGACAAAGGAGCCAGGTACGTTAACTGTTATAGACACAGCTACCAAATACAAAAGCTGAGTTGTCTGCAGCTGCATAACTGTTCATGTCATGTCTTTGGAGAGGCCTAGCTTCCATGTGAACTTTGATTTCTACTCTTGTAACTGGTCCTCTTGCAATGTACTTCTATTGGTTAAACATGTACATTCAGAGTGTGTCTACACATACATCCATTTATGAGCAAGTCACCTTGGGATCCTAAAATAATCAATGAAGATTTAGCCAATATGGTCAGTGGAGCGTAGAGTGCAATTTATTTTTTTGGTGGGACACAACTAACTGTGCTATAAGTCCCAATGGCTGTGTAGTGGGGACCAGCACCGACTGCACTGAAGATGAATACTCAACTTAAACTGAGGTTTCACTTGGTGTTTACCTGATTCAGCAGTTGGGACTGACATCTTCAGGTAGGACTGGGTTAACTGGCTAATGCCTATATGGGTCACTCCTCAAAGTAATATTAATTATTGAATCAAAATCCTAATGCTTAAAAACCCCACCAGAAATATTGCCAAATGTGTTGGAGGTCTACCATTTGTCTACTTTTGCTAAGACAGACCTTTAATTGGGTAATAAGCCCTGGTGCTGGGATGCTGATACGTCTGCAAGAACTCTGCCTTTAGATAAGCTCACAAAGCCACTCTGGTTTTTATTATCACTTCAGTTTTAAGATGGAATTCTAAGGCCATTTTCTCAGACTGTGCAAAGCTGTAAATAATACAGCATTTTAACAAATGGGACTAATAAGAGAGATCAGAAGTGCATTTGCTCACTATATTTCATTTAGACCAGATAATGAAGCTGGGAGTTGTACTTTGATGCTGTTGGTATATCAGTTGCCTACAGATCTGGACTGGATTAGTTATTTTATTATCCTTAGTTGTCCTGATATCCACTGCTGTAATATGAAGATCTCTACTGTCTAGTTGCTGGGGATGGAGGGGCTATATTGGGTGGAAAAGGAGGGCAAATGCTTTTAACTGTGCATTTTTAATATAAGCACTTCCTAGGGACAGGGCAGTTAATACCTCTATTGTCATTTGAATTTGACTGTTTTAGTTTTCAGGGTCTGGGTACGTCCTGTTGTTGATGTTTTCAGCTCTTCCTATTTCTGTTATTTACATGCAGTGATATTCATTTTGTTGAAGACATTTGGATGGACTTCAAAATGGAGAAAAGCTATAGTTTATTCTGAGAGCTGAGATTTCACAATGATAAAGGGGTAGGCAGATAGACAAGCCATGCTAACAATATCATATTCCTTTCTCTTTTCAGGTCAAATATCTACTGATAGATTATATGACAGTCTTCTGTTAATTGAACTGTTGACACCTTACCCAGCTTTGTTTCTCTTCTGATATGTGCTGGATTTAAACACGTAAGACTAAGAACAAAATAGATAAGGTGCTTGCTTTCTGAATTTTAGATTTAGGGTCAAAACACGATGCTGGCACTTTCTTTGCTGAAGAAGCTATCTGTGTTTTGGGCACTACCCCTGCATTGTCATCTACACTCTTAAAGGACAAAAGAGAAAGGGAGAGGTTAAAAAACTTGAAGCTGTTTCTGTGCATTAGATAATTAATAATCAGAGAAATATATGTCCTGGTCGAAGATGGTTGGTAGGAGGACAGGATTTTGTGATAAATCTATTTTCTCCTCTCCTCTCCTCTCCTCTCCTCTCCTCTCCTCTCCT